GGATAATTTTAATTGAAAGAATACATTGTAATAGATTTATAATTTTGTCAGTCAATTGTATAACTAATGTGATTTATAATTATTCTCCTTTAGTTTACAATATATCTGTTCTTAATTATATACTTTAATAATTACGACTTACGTCAAACACTTAAACCAATTAAATTAACATTTATTGTATAATTAAATTAAATATTATTTTACATTATTCATAGAATTTTAATCAGCAGATAAATAGTTGGAAGTATGTAGATGGTCAATTTTTTACTGAAGTACGTTTGAACAGTAGTGAGTTATAAAACTATTTAACACTCGAGTAGAAAGATTAAAAATATTTTAATTCTGTATTAACTTTTGTTTATTACCTAGGTACTTATCATATATATATATATATATATATATATATATATATGTGTGTGTGTGTGTGTGTGTGTGTGTGTGTGTGTGTGTGAATGTAAATATAAAGAGTATTTCTAAAAAAAGATTATACATTGATGAGTAATTATAAGAAATTAATTTATAACTCTTAATTAAGTAGGTATCATTTATCTAAATCTGAAATCTCTGATAAGTGGCTTATTCTACAAAACATCCATATCCACTTATTCACATCACTTGATGACAAAATAGTTTACAAATATAACCATAAAATATCTATATAGTTTAAATAATACTTCAGTTAATAAGTGTAGTATTATAACGATGATGAAACTTTATTATAATTTTGTCTGAATAATTGTAATATGCGAATAAAATACACAATATAAAACTTATAATATAACTTATATAATATTTATATGTAAGAATTAAATAAATAACTAGATATTTAATATAAAAGACAAATATGTACACATTCTCATAGAAAAAAAATGTATTTATTTATCTGATATGATAATTATTAATTGAAAATTAAGAGTATATTTTAGTTAATAAGTCATTAGATTTAAGTTATATTTTTAAATAATTATCTTAACCTATGTTAAATACTTTTAAGGTGTGTATACTCTAAGTATTTAAATATAATTTACTGTATTTGATTTAAATTAAAAATGTTAAATATTTTTTTATAACTTGAGTAATAAGTATAATATAAATTAATAACTATTCGTAAATAAATGCATATTATTGTTTTGGTTTTACTGTACATTTTCAATATAAAATTAAAATGTATTAATTAATAATTATTAATAACGTATTTTAAATTATAGATAGTTAAATATTAAGATATATTTAATAATATTAATTTCTCATAATTTGTATTGCTGAAGCTCAACTCTTATTTAATGTATGTAATTGTGTAGTAAAGAAAAACATTACTTTTTATATTAATAATTTTATTATTCGATATAACTATACAAGTTTTGTTTCAATATTTAAAATCAAATGATTCTGCCTATGCCTACCTATAGTTTATATTATGCCCTGTATATTATAAAAAAATTGTTATTTATATTTTATTTATATTTATTTATAACATACATAATTATTTAAATACCGTACAAATACCGTACAAAATCAATATAATAAATTACTTGTAAGTTTTTGGTGTATGTCACGTATTTTTAACACAATCATTAGATAGTTTCAATAATACGTCCTCACTACTTTTTGAATGATAGTAATTAATTAAATCTTGGGTTCTTAATCAATTATCTTCTTATTATCGTCATCAAAACAACAATAAGTGTAAATAATATACTAATTTTCCAAAAATCTACATGTATTATTGTACTCGTATAATTTAATTTTATATGTGTTCAAATACTGAGTAGGTTTTCCAAAATTATTTACAAAAATTGAATACTCGAGAAAAGAAATTGATGTTCAATATGCATACTTACATTTTGAAAGTATTCGACTACTTTCAAATACTTTTTTAACGTAATCTTATTATAATAGATTATATTTATAAAAAAAATTGAAATTCGTTACTTACAACGTGAGCAACCCGTAAAGTTTTTCCACGAAAAATAATGGCATACATTTTATTAAATAAATATTTTGCCTTTGAATATTTTCACTGAAATAAATTATAAATTGTTGTTTCTTTAATAATTAAAATTAAATAGTATTTTATTAATATCTAATATCTCAATATTTCTATGATTCAGTCTCATGTACCTAGTCCCTTTTTAATATTTATTGTGATTAATAATACAATTAATTTTTGACATTAGTATTTAGTATTTATATTAGTATTTAGTAATTAATCCAATTTAATATTTATTAATCAAATTACTCGTAGAACGTTTTCTTTGTACCTTCTTAATTTAATAAATAACGATTTTTAGACATTTAATTATGTAATGGATAGGGCAGAGAAGTTATAGTTTTGGTATAATATTTTATTTATCTCTTTTTCATAGCAAAATTAATTACTAATATAGATAATAAACTCTTAGATTGAGTTATATTTTATTTTTCTTGTGTAGTTTTGGTTATTTTGTTGATTTTTATAAAAAATACATATTTGATAAGGTTACAGTCTTAAATTGACCATAATTCATGAACTTTAGAGATAGTTGAATAATTATTACTAATTAAAATTAAAAATAAACTATTATGATATATTGATAATTTTGCATAACAAAATTTTTTCTTATACAAGTATGACAGTCCTCTATATAATATTTTGTTAAACTTAAAAAAATGTATTAAGTACATAAGAAGTTCCGACGAAATAAAAATAATTCTTACATAAGTAATCATTATTGTAGTTACATAGGAAGCAATTTTTCATTGGAAAACATTTTTTTTTTTTTAAATTATATTTGTATTGGAATTTTTTTCGGCTGCTATATTTTATTTTTTATATAAATTTAAAGGAATTAAAGGCATATTTTTTTCTTTTTTCGCTCATATGATTATCGCTCATATCATAACATCTAAATATAATATCTATATAATAATAATTTAATATAAAGTAAATCTACAATAATATATTTTTAAAAGATAAAATTACTATAAAATGTAGAATTTTACCTAATTTCTTGATTTAAAATATTAAAAAATTTCATCATAACAAGTATATTGTTTTATGTGTTAAGTTAACTGCATTTTATTTTTATTTTTAATATTCTTAATAAGATATCTGAAATAAATTGTGATTTAAGCTTATAATAAAATTTGCATAAATAAACGAACATTTATTTGTAATTCAAATATAATATCATTGTCGTGCGCAGGGGGTATGCAGGGTATGCAACTGCATACCCTAAACATAGAGCCTTCTTTCTAAAATTACAAAAAATTAATAAAAATGATGACATACTTGATCTTATGTATATTATGAGATTTTGTATTATATTATGATTTTTATTATATTTTTATATTCAGTCCCAGATAGTTTAATTTATTTTTGAAACACAAATCATATTTTATAATAATAATTTAATGTGTTAATGTGTTAATGAAATTAAGAAGTATAATAATTGAGGCAAGATTAAATAGCTATCTACTACAGGACAATAAATGGCTATAAATTAAAATCCCGAAAACATTATTGGTGATATTAAGAACTCAACTGTACGCAGAATCGTTTTATGATTAATTTTGATTATTTATCAAATTTATTTTGTTTTTCATTTAAGTATATAATTACGTTTTTATTTATTTACCCTATTTAAACGTATTACTCAAACCATTTCAAGTGTTATGTATTTAATTTTTTTTTTCGTAATTTATTTTAAATTTTAATTATGAAGACAGTCATAACGATTAAGAAATGGCTATTCAGTCACTTTTTTCAGGAAAAAAAATTAAAATTTGAAATTAAATATTTATTAAGACCAGAATTTCGAACGCTTAAAATAACTTTCAGTTTTAGGGGGAGGGCAGTGGCAGCCTTTTGTATACCCTGAAAAAGAGGTCTGCGCACACCTATGAATAATATATAAATGTTTACATTCGTATTTAAAATGAATTAACATCAGTATATATATTAAAAAGTGAAATATTACATTAAAAATACATTTATGATATACATATTATTGTCATATTCATATACACACAAGAATTTGTTCAACAGTTATTACATACGAGTATATAGAAGCAAAGTAATTACATTTATTTAACTAATTATTTAAGTAGTTCACTTTTATTTTAATCATAAATATGGCCTTTGAATGTTATAACAATAAAAAAATTAATTTAAAATCTAATTTTTAACTTGTTTGTATGAATATTAAATGGTGAAAAGTAAATTGAACAGTTTTATTAATATTTTATGATAAAATAATAGTAAAAAATTAGATAAAATGTTTTAAATTAGTGAATTGATTTACGAAAAATGATGTAAAAATATTTAATAATATAAATTAAATTATAATTAAAGACATTATAATTTATTTAGTAATTGCATACAAATAACTTTGTAATATAACATCAGTAATCGTTTGGTATAATAATCGTTTTATGACTGTCTAAACTTAATATATCTTAATAAATCATAATTCCATGTGTAGGTAAAAACATGTTTTTTCTCATCTATACCTAATTAAATGTTCTTGGTTGGATATTTTCATATTTATTAAATTTTAACATCTTTTACAAAATGTCATTACGTGTTATGTTTGTGATACTAGTTAAAATTATACTAATTTAATAATAAATATTATAGAAATGGTTTTTACCTTTTTTTTTAACGAATTACTTTGTTTAGAGTATATTCTAAAGATAAATATTAAACTTGCATAACAATCAGTTTGGCGTCACTATAAAAATTGAAGTAAAAATATCAGAAAAATATTAGAAAATTGCGTAAGAAATAATTATTATACCGTATATTTTTGCTAATATCATTAGGTATAATGGATAAAATTAAGTGTGAGGTATAAATAATGAAATCAAAAATTTAGACAATCATATTTCATAGAAAAAAATAGCTATTACAATTGATTTGATTTTTCTTATTTTCTTATATTTAGTTTAAACTAAATTTAATAATATCGATTAATTTTTAAGTCGAGTAGTCAATTTTTACGAATAATGGTTATTATTATTTATAACAATTATATTATGCATTAATAATTTTACAAAATTTTAATTTTTGATACAAATCTGTAGACGCATCTTTATTTACATAGGTACTACTTTTTCATCATTCTGAAATGTATAATATAGTACAGAGCATATTAAAGTATAACATTGTCTATATAAACTAATTGAAACAAGTATTATTCAGCTAAAATCAACTGAATGGACAACATTGACATGAAACCTATGGCAATAAACAGGAGGCGTAATATTCTTTGTTTGATACTTAAATGTTCAACAGAAGGTTTGAGAACTTCAAAGAACACCACGTACATCAATGTTCCAGTAGCTAGTCCTTGCAGTACGACCGATAGTATAACCACGGAGTTTGTTTCTTTAAGATTACTAACTACGGTGCCCACGCCAATGCCTATTGGAGAAGTAACAGCAAATAATATTATCGAACAGTGTGCTAGCAATGGCTTAGTTCTATCCGAAAGCATTTGTAATCCAACGTAGAACGCAATGACCAGCTTATGACACGCCACTGCCACCGTAAGTGACCAAACCTGTAGAAGCCAAATTAAAATTATTATAACTTTTGTAATCTAAATTGTTATTATTATTAGAAATCTAAGCTTAGGTTATTATGGGATTAGATCTCAAGCAAAAAAAAAAAAAAATAATTTTTATTTTGTACTAAAACTTTCAGGTATAATAGTAAAAATGTTCAGTCAAATCAGTTCAGTAGTTTTCTCGATTAGCTTGGTCGTAGAAAACCACTTACAATTTTATATTGTAGTAAAGATTTCAATTATCTTATTAACATAATGATTGGAAATATTTTAAAGACTTATACTTAACCCTACCTTAATCCTAGTAGGCTAATTTAAACTATAATAAACTTAAAGATTATTTAAAAAACTCTTTCGAAACTATCGAAAATTGCTAAAAACGGTAAAATCACATTTATGATTTATTTTCAATTTCGAAAATATTCGTATTCTTAAAAAAAATTATACATTCAAATGTATTTGATAAGACAGAATAAGTAATACAAAATAAAACGAGATTTACAAAATAAATGTCAAGGAGAGAAAGTGATTAATTATAAAAGGGGGGGATATTTCACCTAGAAAATAAAGTCTAAAATTGGACTTTCATAGTTTTAATATTACGTCGGGTATAATCAATTAAAGAATATAATATAAACATTTATAGAAAGAAGGGAATTTTAGTATGCGTTAGTCGGAAGTGGATTTTAAAAACATTATGCTAAAAAAATTTCAACTATCGTAAAATTACAACTTTTGATTGTTGATCTCAATAAATAATAAATTAAAAAAATAAAAAAAAAATAGAAAATTGTTAATACTTGTAAATTAATATATAAATAAATAATTTATATATAGAAATAAATAATTAAATAAATGTTTAGCCTGGAGTATTATTATATTTGTAATATATGACCGATTTTGAATTAAAAATTCATCATCAGATATATACAAAATTAATATATTTACGACCATGAGCATTTAATAATTAATTTATTAATTTATATATGTTAACTATTTTGACTAATTATATTTAAAAAATAATAGGTAGTTTAAAATAAAATTGATAAATATATGCTTATGGTAAACAAGGACATTTTATTAACATATTTATGCATTTTTATGATAAACTATAGATTTTTGAATACAATTTAGTATATAATAGACAGAAAAAACGAGTTCTATACATGATTTCATATTCTACAAAGCAATATTTTTATTCATTAATCAATATGCCATTCACGGGATCCATTTTTTTCAAGTAGACATAAAATATATATTTTTTTTGATAAAGTTTTTTCAATAAAGTTTTTTTATACTTAATTTTTGTAAGTTTATTGACAATTATTTAATATTAGATAATTAATATATGAATTAACTTAAAGAAAAAAAACTTGGTATTCTGTTATCTATAAGTTGTAGATTTAAATTATTTTGTTAATAAACTCTTAACACTAAACACAATTTAATCCACTTATTGTATCCCATAGGAATACTTTATAAATCATTATAACTTCGATAGAGTTTTATTTTTAATAAGTTTCGATCAATATTATAATATTATATAAAGATATATAGAGACGGATTTTTTAAGTAAATTAGACTAGACATTTATTAGTTACTTTTTCCATTATGTAAGCCGATTTCCAATATGATTTTGCAATACTGAACCCAGAATGTTCTTACTAAATATTACTAAAAACCATCAATGCGTATTGTTACACAAAACATACATGGTATGTACGTAGGTTATTATAATTTTAATTATAATTTTCTACTTAAATTAATAATAAACTACGTTCAATTATGTGTTACCGCTAAGTGACTAATTTATTGAATCGTTCATGTTTTATTTAATTAATTAAATTTTGTTTTATTGTTTTTTATTAAAGAATTGTACATTACGTGAAAATATTTTTTACGATAAGCATGAGTGATAGTTTAAACTTTAAAGATCTATGAACTTATTAGGCAAAATAAATAAAATAATATTAAATATGGAAACTATATTTGATACTGCAATCATAGGTGAATGAGCCATATATGATGGAACTGACATGAGGTGATTTATTTAATTGACATTAAAAAATATAAATTTAAAAATAAAAAATACGATGGGAAATGTTCCGAAATAAAATGGACGGGTTCTATTAAATATATTGAACAATTAATTGATTAATAATACTTATGACAAAAATTGTTTGGCTAAAATAATATAAATTCTGATAATGCTTTTTGGCATAATAATTATCGAAATATATTATAAATAAGTATTTAACCTAAAATATATTTTTAATAATGCATGGTTTAAAAATCATATCACAATAAATCATCGACAGAAAATAAAACTTGTTATGGTTCAAAAAAATCTAAATATATAATTCATTGGCATGTATGATACACGATTGTAATTATAGGGGCTTAAGATTGAATCTAATTTATATACGTATATTTTTTATGCAATTCTTATTAGGTTTATAAAATATGTCAATTCTAATTCTAAAAATAAATTAAACATAAGTCTGTATCATACAATCAACAAAATGTTAGTACACCAATGGATAACAAGACACTCGCAATCAATAAAAACTCTTTAAACGATTTTAAATAATTTAATTAGTATAATTGAATATTTTAAGATTCAAATATTTTTATCCATGGTTACTCTGGCCATTGAAAGTACATTTATTGAACTCGTGAACTATTGGTTTTTGTTATATGTCGGTAAATAGATCACGCATATGTAAGAGCATTGTTTGGGAGCTGAACAAATAAAAACAATTATTTGATTTACCTTTTTATTTTTGATAGGTATTAATCAATAACATTTTTCTCCCTTCTCTGATGTTTGTAAAATTAGTATCTATATTCATTTTTAAATGGAAACCTATAAAATAGTTTATAGTTTTATAATATAGTTTTCGATTTCAAAAAAAATAATATGTCATTGTGCACCATAAATTTAATATCAGATTGTTTACCTGCATTGGTATAATTTTTTTTATTTTACCTAATCTACGATAAAACTTTTGAATAACTATGCATTATACGTTTTACATTGCATATTTTTAAATAGGAAATTTAACACAATTTTTTTTTTTTTTGATTTTGGTAGTCATAAATAAAAAAAAATTGAAAATTAACTTAGGAATAATATTAAATTTCGTTCCACTTGTACGATTGCATTTTTATTTTTTATGATAGACTGAGTACATTTTGATTTTATGATTATACAATTTATACAAGGTTAAATCTAAAGCTATACACTAGCTAGTTTTGAAAATCAAAAGATTTGACCTCGTCAATTTTTCTTTGTCAGATTTTTATAGTTAAAAATAGGGTGAAACCTAATATTTGTATAGATATATATGCCTATTTAATTTTAATTTTTAAGACGTAACTTATTTTTAAACAATATTGATAAATAAACATTCAACTTTTGAAGACAGGAGATTTGAAAATATTTTTAAATACTCGTATATAGAATTAATTAAATCTTTGCCATTGTCACGGTCTTATATTATCCCTTAACAGGTTGACTGCCACAATGATTTTTGATACTTTTTACCCGGTGCCGTGTGTACAAAATTGTGTACACTCCTTTACTTACCATTTTTCTTTTCGTGTACATTATATTGTATACGAGTTTTTTTTTTCAAACAAATTTCGTGTACAGAAATGTGTACACGTCTGTACTGATTTAACATTGGAATTAAATATTGAGGTCCCTAGGACCAGTTTTGTCTACTCAGCGAAGATAGGAAATGGATATTTCTTATTTAAATCAAGTTTTTATTTTGAAAAAGAAGTTTTTGCAAATTATCGTTTAAAATTTGTTGGAAAGTATAAAAATATTTGCATATACAAGTATGGAGATTTGTTCGTGCACAAAAAAAATGTACACGTGGTAGTCAACCTGTTAATTAATGTGAGTACAAGTACATTAGAATGTTAAATTACCTAACACAACCGTTTTTTCGGTACCAAATTAATATTAACTATAGTTATTATTTAATAATAATCCATTTATCCATTTAATCCAATCAGTAAGCAAAAAAAAATTAAGCGTTAATATAAGTAAAACATAATTAATACAAATATATATAAAATATCAATTTCCCATACATTATACGACACTAGAGTAAAATATTTAAAAAATTAAATTGAGATTAAAATCGAACTTTAAGAGACCACTTAGAAGATACGTTATTCCTGTCAGAACATGTCACAGAATAAGTCCTTCAATTTTCGATAAAACATTGTTTTGTAATAAAACTCTTCAAAATATAATTTATTCATATTTGTCTGAAGTTAATTATTTATTTTTTATCTAAACACATACTTTATGGGCAGGCTTAATGAACAATGTGTCAATTGAAATTTATACTTAAGTTTGTGAATTATCAATTATAATCTTACATTTTCAAGTTGGAATAATAATTAGTGAAATATATATTTTTAAGGTCATATACAATATACAATTACCTATACTATATGATAAATTGTAATACATATGTAAAAATTATTAATACAATATTTATATTCTAATATTAAATATACATTATAGACATTACAGATGTATATTATAATAAAATATTAGTTTTAGAAAACGATTTTGTATTAAAATAAATATAATTTACAATTTGTATAAATTAGAATCAATTAACTAAAATTGCTGAAAATAAATAATTAGAGATTCAAATACAATTAAGGAAGGAGGAATCTAGAGAATCTAACTATTATTTTAGTGGATTTTTATGATTAATTAAACTCAATCTAGAAGATTTTAAGCACCCAACGTATTTTGAAATAGCAAAAGAAGTTTATCAAAAATTGAGGTTATTGGATTTGAATGGTACAATATTTTGAAGTAGAATTATTTGTATGAAGGACTTAACGAATTGTTAATTGTTTCAATATTAAGGCTTCAATAGAGAGTAAGCCGTGATGTTAGAAGCGAATCATAGAGTATTAGTGATTTGGTTTGAGGATATTGCTTGAAAAGCGTGTTTTGTTTTGAATAGCGTATAGCGTTGGTATGGTGCTAATCTGTGCTAATTTTATAGCCTTTAATTGAGAATCACACATATTATCAGTATTTATTAAGGTATCATCGAGATCAAAGAATGGGTTACTCTTTTGAAAAATCTTTGAATGGATATGAAGAAGATAAAGTGCCTCTTTAACAAACCACAAAACAATTTTTGAGTTAAAAACTAATAAAAAGATGAACATAAGAGAAGTAATATATTAAAACATGAAATATTTTGTACGAAATTTTAATTGTACATTGGGCATCTTATAATAGTTCTGATTAAAACGCCACGAGTATAATCTTGATATTCTGTAAAACATTTTTGGTTAGTAAAAGTAACATAAAAATAGTAATAGATTATACTTCTATTCTCATTGTACATATACAATACATATACATAGAGATGTTAAAAAATATGGTATTTTATTTATTTTTTGTATAATACCGTTTTTTACCAGTATTATATCGTATAGAACCTTGCAGTACCTTAAATTATAAGAAATTTAACAAAGTTTATCACCCCATTGTTAATTATGAAATATAAATTATTTTAAAATGGAATAACTAAAAAAATGGCCAAAAAGTTAGAAAAAATTAAAAGAACACATAATACAAGAATTATTCACCAAATTCACCAAATTAATATTTAGTCATGCTATCGATTTGCAATTATGATATAGGTAAGATACGTATGTATTTTAAACATAGAAATACATATTTTTTAAATAAAAATAAAGATAAAACTATACTTAATACTTTTATAGTTATATTCTATCTCATTGTACCTATATATTTACAATATTTGAATATTATATTAGAACAATAAATTGATTTTAGGGGCAGATTCAGAGGGGGCGAATGGGGCGATTCCTCTCCCGTTCACCGTAGCAGATTTTAGTTTTTGACGTAATTACTACAAGGGTAAATAGGGAAATCTTAAACTATTTTTTTTATACCAAACTTATGCTGGTATTATGTTATTACTTATACTTATTATTTGGTGATACATTGATATCACAGTTATATACTACTACACAGTTTAAGATATATAGGTTAGTTATCATATATTTAAATTGCATTGATAGCTGATGGTCAGAATGCGTTACGGGTTTAGTACACATTTTCGCTATATCTGTAAAGCGTTAGTAGTATGTAGGACTATATTATTACAATAGTTAGGTATATGACAAATTCAAATAATTTACCAGAAGCTGAGCTTCTTAATTTAAAATCAAAATGAGGGTTAACCCATCCAAATTTACATTTATTTCGATTTCTATACATAGTAGAAGAGTGCTTTGCAGAACACTGTAAACAAAAAAACATATTTGATCTAACAGTTCAAGATGCTTTAAATATTTCTTTTACATTTCCAAGCTTCGAACAAATAATATAATCATATCTATTCTGATACATTTCATTATGATGCGAATGCGCCACTTTGTAGATTAAGATTATTGCCAAGAAATTTAAAAGAGTAAACAAAAAAGCCTAACTAATCTCAACTTAAATAATACAGATTTTTGCTTAATTTTTTTATTAATATATTGTTTCTTGTGTCGCTAAATCACATTCTTTAAAAATATTATTAATTTATTTACATATTTATTTTTAATTCACATAGAAAATTCTCCTGATATTTAAATGCTGGAAATCACTTATTTTATTAATATTGAAAATAAACTCATTTTGTCAAATTTTGAAATACGCACTGTTGCAGTTTAAACGACGATATCAAAATTAATATTTTTAATTTTATCTATATCATGTGTGTCTGTTAAAAATCGCCCCCCCCCATTATCTTGGTCTGGATCCACTCCTGATTTATTTTAGTCATTTTTAACACCTAAATTCTAAATTAACACGATTACAATAATATTGTATATTTTTAATTTTTATAATAATACTGTACTTTATTGGAGATTCATTATATAAGTACAACTAAAAAATTAATAGTTGAGTTACTAAAAATAACTAAAAATAACGCTTTCATTTTTGTTTTTATAATGTCTACTCGTATATAAAATAATTTTATACCACGTGTATTAGTCATTTTTAACACCTGAATTCTAAATTAACAGGATTAAAATATTATTGTATACTTTTAATATTTATAATTATAATGTACTTTATTGGAGATCTATTGTATAAGTACAACTAAAAAATTAGTAGTTGAGTTACTAAAAATAACCAAAAATAACAATTTTTTTTTTTATATTGTGTGAATAAAATAATTTTTTATCATCTGTATAATACCTCGTATAATACAAATTCACATCACTACATATACATATACAATGTATATCCATTTTTATGTTACTTTAATTGACCAAAAATGTTTTACTCAATAAATGGTTATATTTGTAATATTGTAATCAAACCTGTTATTTATCTATTCTTTATACATGTATGTCATAGCCACTTAGTAAAATTGATAATTTCTGGAAAAGTTAAGAATTTCGTGCAATGGAAACGGTTTTAAAATGTGAATTTATTTTACGAAATTATCACTCCAATTTGATATCGTGTAATTTTTTTTCTTACAATATGGTAATTTTTTTTCATGTACAATACAATATATACTTATTATAGTTTTATAATAGTTTTTGTGTGTTATACAAAAAAACTGCAAAAAGATAGACAAAATATAATATTTACTTAAGCAAGATTAGATTATATTGATTATAATGTACTTTCAAAATATATTAAAATATTTTTAGGAGACATTTAATGTTAAATTTTAATCTTAAATTTATCATTGATAACTTATCTTAAATCTTCTTAATTTTCTATTTTTTAAAAGTTACAGATAATACATAATTTTTTGTTCTTCCATAGCCTCTTTGTTTAAAAATGACTATGGTTAAAGACAATTTAAAAACAATTATGTGGTACAGTACTTTTTTTCCAGATTTATCCAAATAATATACTAATAATCGGTATTATATAATGAAATATTGAAATATTACCAAAATTTTGATATGAATTTATATGAAAACTAATAAAATCTATACATTTCAGATATAGTGAAATATTTTTGCATTTCACGAACTATAAAAAAGTATTTTTCTTTTCATGAAATGGTCAATTTCAATAAGTGGTTATGGCATGTATAAATATATATTTTTCTAAATGTATATTTTTAAAATTATTTTAATGCATTTTTATAGCTTAAAATATCATTATTAATATCGAACTAATTTTTAATGAATTTATCATATTTTTAATTAATTAGCTATTATAATATAATCGTACAATAATACTAGATATTTTTTAGTTTATATAACTAATGATTCGAAATTTTTACAAGTTATTAATTAGTATAAATTATATATTTTTTTATTTCAGAAAAATTATGAAAATAAATTATGTTTAAATTTGATTAAATTTGGAATAATATTTTGCACTGATCTAAATTATAAAGAGTTCCAGTATAATTCTTTATATTACATTTTTTATATATTATTGTTTTTAAACGTACAGTGTTCTGTTATTATGCAGGTACTTAATCAAACATTGATTAATGTTTGTAGATAGAATGCGTTTTATCTGACTGCTTCTCTGGCATGTTTTGTAATATATTCATAATAAAAATATATGCAATTTAAGACTACTTAAAACGAAAATTCGAGCATTAAACTAGTTATATTTTATGGAACTATTCAATTGGATATTTCAAAATAAATTAAATACCTTTAGTTTGTAATATAATATTGTTATTCGGGATCATTCTATTACATATAGTTTGGAACTATGATGGATATAAAAATACATTTCTTTACTGTCTGTCTTTCAGCACGGAAAACTTTTAAGTCTAAGATTATAAAATAAAAACATTTATACTGTAATTTATAATGATTAATGGAAACAGGTCTAGAAATGACTAAATAAGTTACCGCCTAAAAAATCTATTTAAAACATGTTTATTTGGAACGAAAATATCGTATTAAATATTCAATTAGCTTAATAATCCGTTCTCATATACATCGTGCCGCGTTAAAATTGTAAAAATCGCCTAATTAGTATTCGATTATTACGAGAATAAAACGATAACCTACACCTAACGCTGTTGGAATGTTGTAATATTAATTTAATCCCGCAGTCATGGCGTTATGGCCGTTACGGAGACACGAATAGATGATCTCCGTTATTATAATTATTTCCGATCTGATTGAGCTGCCGGTGGGATTGTAAACGCATTATTGTAGTGTCATCTACTGACCTGCGCGGCGTCTTTCTCCAAACCGACGGCCAAGCCTTCGAAGAGTTCGTGTATGCTGAGCGCGCCGACCACCAGAAAGCCGCGGAAAATGGCCGTCGACTGCTCCTGCGTCTGATTATGCTGTTGTTCGTGCTGGTCTGGATTTTTGGCGGCCGCTATCTCGACGACGGACGTGCACGAATTGTAGTTGGCCACACGACCGGACACTACGACCGCTTCACTGTTCTCGAACACGGGGTTTTGTTGGCCCGCATTCACCGGATGATCGGCGAGCTGTTGTTGCTGCTGCTGCTGCTGCTGAACGTGCTGGTGGTGACGGACCTTCTGTTCGTGGTTGTGTTGTTGATGATGGTGATTGTGGTAGTCGTGCTGGTGCTGGTGGTGGTGGTGGTGGTGGTGGTGGTGGTGGTGGCCGTCAAACCCGTGCACCAACTCCTCTACGGAGAACATGAAGAAGAAGCCGACGCACATGATGAGCTCGGCGAGCAGTTCGGCCACGGGCAGACTAGGGTCGACCGTACCGTCCTCGGTCAGCCGCTCCACACCCTCCCGGACCTCAGGCAACAAGTGCAGGAACGTGGTGCACAGCAGCACACCACCCCCGAAGTTCAGGATCAACCGGAGTACCGCGTTGGCGGCGCTGCGAGCCCGCCGCTTAATGCCCAGCCGCTCGAACACGCACATCGGCATGCTGCCGACCACGAACGACGACACGCCCAAAAACGCCATGGCTAGCACCTTCGCCAGCACCGGGTCGTCCGCGTCCAGATCCATGGCCGCGTCCCCGGATAGCGATACGCCGGACGAAGGATTTCGCCTCCCGTAGCAACCGATGTCTCGCAGCCGTGTGATCGTTGCGTCTGAAGGTGCTGCTGCCGCCGCCGTGCGCTTCCGGTCCGCCGCGCGTCTACGCCAACCGCGTTTGTCGGACCGACACACCGAGTTGCTGCAGTGGCGTGTGCGTGTCGACGTGTCCGTGCGTATGCGCGTTATGCGTTCGAATGCCCGTGGCCGTGCGTGCCCCGTAATGTGTATGTGCGCGCCCGCGCGGTTCCTCGACGGAGATAAGGCGTCCCGACAACGGATCCAATCGCGTCCGCGCGTACCGTTGTTCGTCAGTACCGCGTTTAATGTTCACGCGACTCCGTGTCAGTCAGATGTCGTACCGGCACCGCGCGCACGACTCGTCCGACGAAAACGCACCGTGGAGTATACGCGCGCTGCTGCGACTGCGTTACGACACTGCTCGACAAATTTGTTTCGTGCACGCGACAAAACGTTATGACGACACCGTCATGCGAGCGCGTTTATTGTTCCGATTGTTTACGGGGTTTTTTTTTTTTTCCTTTTCTTTCCCACCACACGTGACATTGGATCGACGAAGCGGTTCCGGACATGTTCGGTTTCGAGATTAATCGTACGCGGACATTATTTTTTCGTCGCACCGCGTAGCAATAGTTGTAGTCTTCTTCTTCTTCTTCGTCGACGGATTAAACCTGCTGCAAAAGCGTAAAACACAATATTAATACGAACACTCGAATTTTTCGTTCGTTAACTCGTTTTACGTTCGTCAAAACGTTCGCTGGCGACGAGGAAATTTAACAACAATAAATACGTGTACACTTCGCCGCCACCGCCGTTGTTGTTACTCAACGGCGTTCGTCTCCGCCCGAACTATATTTAAACGGTACGTAACCTAACCGCGGGCGCGCGCGCGCGTTCGCCGGTTTTGCGCACAATACAACGCATTTATTTCGTTCGCAGCGGCGGCGGCACGTATAGCGCGCGCGTACATACGAACGTTATAATTGATATGACACCGAGATAATCGCGCGTTGATCGTGTTGGTCTTTACACACACCGCCTTCGTGACGTGTTCCCGCACCGTTATTTCAGCTGTTTGCCCAGTGCCGTACCGGTGTTGGCCGCGGATCGTTGTGCACGGCCGTGAATACCGGAGGTGGCTTTCGAACCGTCGAAGAAAAGGCTTCGATCGCTTACCCGGCAGCCTTATCGCGTGTACATAACCTAATAATGGTCGAGGCCACCATCGGACAAATACGTACGAATAATAATTCATCGGTCGTCGAAAATGATCTTTGGCGGCTTTTACCGAATTTCCCGAAAAATCCATTTCCCGTAGTTATCCAGCCCTCGTATCTTTGCTATAGTTCTACAAACTTATTTATCGACGACACACCTCGTGTACATTTATTGTTTACATGATCGCCGCGTGACGCGAATCGCATTACGGATGCGACAGAAGTGAACGGGTCTCCCTGTCCGTTTTCGATTATTCCGTCTAACGTTTACATCGATCTCCGTTTCGTGTTTTTCTTCTACGACCGCGCGCACGTATATTATGCACTCGAGATTCTATTTTCTAATCTCTGCCGCACGAATGATAAATGTTTGACGACGTATGTTTTTCAGTATTACTGTTCAATGTATTTTAGATTGTTTCTTTAATATGTATAACACACACAACTTAAAAAAAAAAAGAAATTATATCTACTAACAATCATTTTGTAATTTGATCTTAGTAAATATATATTAAATACCCACACAAACGTACACATTTATCATGCCCCCCTCCACTCAAACTAACCATCTATGGTTGTTTACGCCAGCTGATAGACAGTGGACAACTTCTGTTAATCTTCATTATTATTTATATAATAATTATTTATTTTAGCGTTAAAAAATCAATTCAAATTTGATTATGATCGTAATGATTAGTAATTCATAATGAAAATAATTACGGTAATGATCCGTAAGCGATATTAATCATTTGAACAAGGAGTAAAACGAATCTTTTAATTTTTTTTAAATATAAATTTATTATTATAAAAGTATTAGTCGTGTCGATGTACCAACATATAATCTGTAATTGATTATTGTGTTGCGTATTAAAAAAGCTGCGGTTATACTTAACGCATTGCATTATTTTTATGATTTTTTGTAATGTGGTGATCATTTACCGTTCCATTGCTTATAAACTTATTACCGATTTGTATGTGCAATATACCTGAGTATTTTTAGTCAATAAGTTAAATAAAAATATATACTGACCGGTTTTAAAATAAAGTCGAAAGTTGTACAACTTCAGAGTTTATACTACTATATACTGCTCACATACAATGTTTTTGTTTCATAACAAACAAAAATTGTTTTGATTAAAAACTAATTTTTATAAACTATTTAAAAATAATTTAACTTATATACCATAAAGTTAACTTCAATATGTTTTTAAAAAAATGATTGATACTTCAGACGAATGTGATTTGTAACATATTCACCCAATGAATTCACAATTAATACTAACGACATTACTCATGCAACATTAAATGCATATAATTCATATTCACTGTACAAGTGATAAAAATAATTACCTATATTGATATTATAATTATATAATTTTTATTGCAAGTGATCATCTATCACTATTATTTAATTAAATAATCATTAAAAAAAATGTTATACCTAATTATTTAACAAAAAATGATTTTCCTACTATCCAATCAAAATAGCATGCTTGTAAAACGTTATTAACGATTTCAATTCTCAATTTTTCTTTATGATAATTGTCTGCAAATATTTTTTACTGAATATATATAATATGCTAATCTTTTTATTTTTAATTAATCGCAATACATATTGCATACTTCATACTCCTAACATTCATAGACGTAACTAGAGCCATTAAATTGAGCGGGCTCGATGTTAAAATGCTATAGTTAAAATATTTACCAGAGGGAAGGTGTTGTAGGACTATACCTTTGTCCTTTATCCTTAATAAACAAGAAAATATAATATAATTATGAATACCAACATTTTCAATAAAGAAATACAATTTTAAATATCCACCAGCTAAGTACATTTACTATAAAATAGTATTTTTTGTTATACAGGTAATTGCATTTTCCTATCTTTTTCTGCAAATTGGTTAAGAATATCTTCATTTTTAATTGTGTTTGATAATTTTCGGTCAATGTTAAGAATACTTAAATTTGTAAACCTGTTTTGTGTCATATTTGGCATTAAATTCTCATTGAGGAGGACGATCGTTCACACGAAGCAGAACTTATAGAAATTGACAATTTATTATTATCTTATTTAACACATTCATATTTTATTTAGGTGGGCTTGAGAGGCTGAAGGGTGGGCTAAGCCCACCCAAGCCCTCCCCCTATTTACGTCTATGCTAACATTCTATAAATTTAAAACTATACAAACTTTGACTATATAAATAGAATGTTATTCTTAAATTGTTCAAAATAATAATGTATTGTGTTTCTGTATGTAATGTTATTTCGAAATGAACAATAACTAAAAAATCGAATAATGGTTGTGTCTTTCATTTTATTTATTTTTTTTTTTTTTTATAGAGCAAAAATATGAATCAGTATTGGTTATTTTATTTTATTTTGTTTTACAATGAATCATAAAAATAACACAGGGTGAATTAAAACAAATTAGACTATAATATTGTATATTTTTTAAATTATTTATTGTCAATTAGGTAATACATAAATATTTTCAAAAACCTCTCTAAATCCATTCAAAGTAATTATATTATATATTAGGCCATAGCTATTTCACTTAAAAAATGATATACAATTTTCCTCCACTGTACATATTCCTAAAAGAAAAAAATCACTGTTTTCTTTATGCATAATGAATATAAAATATTCAGCAAAACATAAAGAAACTTCTTGCGGAGTCAATAATTTGAACCCAAACGTATTTCTAATTCACGAACCAATTTCACTATTTGTATTTTTGTAATCTTGACCAAACTAAGAATATGCATTTTTCAAAACCACAAAACCTACAACTCACTATAAGTGTATTTGGCCATTATATAGAAACAATTTTATGAATATTTTTGACATAATTTACATAATTTTAGTTCAAAAAAAAAAAAAAAAGGAAAACGAAGGAAAATAGTATTTTGGTGTGTATGGTAAAAAGGAAGATGGAGGAAAATGGTATCTTATTTTTTAATGAAAATGTCTTTCTCATATATTACACTCGGATATTGTTCATTTTTTTACGTAAAGGTTTATTAAAGAAATTTGAGGTTGAAAAAGCTTTTCGGATATTGAGGCAATGGGTTAGTCTTTCATAATGTTAATCCTATTATTTGTATAAATAAGTCAAGTTACAATAAAAAGTCGAATCGCATTTAAAAAAAAACTAAAAAAAATAAATATTTTGAATGATATTTTTGTAAAATATGTATTCATTATTTCATCTAATTTAGTTGTAACTGAAATAAAATAAAATTTTTTTTTAAATATTTATTAAAAATAAGAGTATTAAAATATAAAATTGGTTTTCATAGAAATAATTTTAACCAAAAACCACACTATAAAATTAAAAAGAGAAGAAAATAATCGTTTTTATTTATACAATAAATCCATATTTTTTACCTGTTCTAATTATTAAATGTCAATTACCGACTGTCATAAATTTTAAATTTGTAGTACTATATAAAATTTAAAATCATTTAAGCCTTTTAATATTTAAAAATGATATAATTACAGATATAATCTCTTGATCAAAACATTGACTTTTATAACTTGTTCGTATATAATAGAATCAAATATTCATTGATAAATGTAGCAACTCGAATTTGATTATGATGATAAAATAACAAGATTTTAATCAATTATTGTTCTTAATTATTCAAAAGGATTAAAAAATCATATTTCTGATTTAATTTTTCTCATGTATTCTTTAATAAAATATATAGTTATAAAAAATTTTAAACATTAAGTACTCAAGTTAATATTGTTATTGTCTTCATCTATCAGTAAACTACCTGATTAATTAAACTTCGTCGTATAAATTAGTGTATCAACACAATTGTACGTTGAAATTATGCTGAAAGAATGTTCTTATTTAATCCGTATAGGAATTAACATAGTATAGACTCTAAATAACAATTATCAATAGAGCTATTAATATAATAGTTATTACATATAGTTTTCGTTTGGTTCATAACTTAGACATAAAAAACTGAACCTTAATCATTTGGTCCGGGTCGTAGTTTTGTTCATGATAATAGTGTAATTTAAAATATTAAAAATTTATTTATTTTTTAATAAGCATAATATACTATATAAAAAATAGAGAATTGTAAGTATGTTAAATCATGCAACTTCGATTAAGAAATATTAAAAAATAACAAAGAAAGTCGAAAAATTACATTAACAAAGTATAACTTTTGATTTGATAGAATTTTAGTACCACATGAAATAATATTTACAAAGAAAGAGAAAAAAAAATATTGATATTTAGCCAATGATATACTTGTTTCATTCGGAATCTAATAAAGTAAAATATTATTATTAAAAATTGCAAATTACTACTAAACTTATAAACTTAAAATTTAAATTGTAGATGGAAGATAAATAAATTTTAAATAAATCGAGGAAACTATATTATTGCATTTATAATACTGTAATGGTCTTCAATTTTTAAATTTCAATTATATACTGCAAAATATTAAAATGTATACTGCATAAATAAATAAAATATGTGCAGTTTTAGATTTATTCGAATACTAGTTTGAATATAAAAAAAACTATATTAAATATTTATGGTATTTTTATGTTTACTATATATAATTTATTTTATAAAATTAAAAGCAAATATATTTGCTTCAGCATTATATAAGTA